ATTGAGAGCTTTGGAAACAAGGTGCCCCCCCCCCCCCCCTTTTTTAAACACAGATTTTAACAGAAAACATGAGTGAATTGAATAGTCACTAAAGAGTTAGCCCCTAAACTGTTCTGTTGTGGGTGTTTGATTTAATCCTAAGGTGTGCTGTGGTTAGCTTACTTCTGCTGTGCGAACCAGGGGTCTTGTTTCAATCTCCCTTAACAATCCAAATCTAGTGAAGAGGAGATACAGAAAATCTAGGTTTGAGGTGTAGTCTGCACATCTAAAGAGGGGAAATTCTCTCTCTATATATATATATTCAGAATGCTGAGATATAAATACTGCAGCCTTTTGTCTTAGAAGAAAAAAATCTTCCTTTTCATACTTTAGTTCTACTGGACGTAAAAACTTGTGACAGTACTAAGAGCCACATAAAACGTATTAACACTTCTTTTATACTTGATTCTCAAGCTGGCTCTACAACTGGCTTATTTCATTATGCATCTGGGGATTTGTAGGAGAATGTCCTTTATGTGCTCCCTAGGTGAGTTTTTTGAGATGGAGAGAGACTTCAGGAGATGAATGTTGGTGTCTGGTAAGGATTTGTGGAATGGAAAGATGTTCCTTTCCTTCACTTTTTCTTCTCTCCAAGCTGGATATTAAGAGCAGGAAGGGAATTTTGGTGCTGTACACATTTGACTGCCCAGCAGTCTGGAGTTCCTTTAGCTGCAGCTGCTGCACTGCAGAACTGAAGCTAGGAATTATCTCCTCCTCTTCTCCGCCCTGCTCCTCCTCCCAGCCTCGTATTCAAACTGGCTCTTGGGTGAGCTGTGCAAGGCCAGCTGGCTGCTCTGCTGAGTGTAGTGCATCGGTGCCCAGCCTGAGACTGCGGGGTGTTCTTCGGAGAGCTGAGTTTCAATGGCCACCGTGACTAGGGAGAAGCAAGGACTGCTTATACGGAGAGATTACTTTTATTTTGTGCAGAGTCGTCTTTGTAGTGGGATGTTGAAATATGACACAATGCCTGTTTGTTTGCAATAGACCTCGTAGCAGAGATTCAAGTGGTAAACAGAGGGGGAATCCAGAGACAGACCAGCGGGGGAATTAGGAACTGTGACGCCGTGTCCTCCCTCCTGTGCCGGAGCAAGCAAAGGAAGGAGAGGTAGAGGAAAAAAGACTGAGCCTTGCAACCAACCGTCACCCTGACGATGTGTCAGTCAAACACCCTGCAGGGACCAGATCTACACACAGGGAAATGGTGAGATGCTATAAAGCTTTATCTAACCCTCCACCCTCTTGCTACAACCTCCGCAAAGTTAAAATTCATGTCCGGAGGCTGCGTTCAGGGAACGGCGGCAGCAGCAGCTGTGCCGGGGACCAGCACCCACAACTGGAGAGTCCAGGCCCGGCTGGCTCTGCCGGTGGTACACCAAATAGGAGAAGCCGTTTCAGGTACTGTTCAGTGTTTTCTGCTTTGCAGGAAGGGAGAAACAAGGGAGGGAGGATGGGAAGGTTTCTGGGCACAGCGACAGCCATCTGCAAAGCTTTTGTTTGGCCTAATTACTGTAAAGCTCCTTAGGCACTGAATTGGCAAAGAAGGGCATGCTGTTTTATGACAAGGAGAATGATGAGGATTCTTTTCCTTTCTACTCTGTCGGACTAGGAGAATAGAGAATATCGGTGAGGGACTGCTCTAAAACCAGGCCAAGGCAGTGAGAAGCCTGAGGGCTCTGGAGCAAGCTGCCAGGATGCAGCTCTGCGGGGATTGGTCCATGATCGACTGCAGTGAAGGGGGGGAGAGCGGTGGGAGGGGGAGCGGTACCTCGGCTGTGCGTTTCTGGCAAGCCAGCTCCTAGCCCTGCCGGCCCTCGAGCAGGCCCACAGGCTGGCAGGTGGAAGGATGGCAGGGAGAACGTAAGGTGTCCCTTCCTGTTCCTGTGTCCAGGCAGTTCCACCGCCTGCTGATAAGAGCCTGCTTTACCTCTGCTGAGTCAGCACTTAATCTCCTCGGGGCGTTTTTGTACTTTGATGCCCAGATCGTTCTCTCATTTTTGAGGGAGGAGGCAGGGGGGAAGAAGTTGTTTGCTGCAGAGAAAATCTGTGAGCCAGAAGCACCATCTTGTATGCCAAAGTGGTGATGGTTGTGCCTGCTGTTCTAATCCAAGTTTTGAAAAGAACAGGTTGGCACAAAATTTCTGTTTTGGTTTCCCAGCTTCTTTCCATTCGGGAAAGAAGTGCACAGTATATTACAGTTCACCCTTCATATCATTTAATCCAGTGAAGAAGAGGGCTGTTCAGTGCAGCCAGAAGCTAGTACTTCCAGCCAACTTGCACACAGAGCTGTATCCTCGTTGCAGGCATATTGTCTTCAGCAGTGTGGGGAAAACAATCTCTTAGCCAGGAGTTAAGTCAGTACCCAGCAGACTGAATATTTTGCCCTCAGACAGGCAGACTTTAATTTCATAAAGTGACTCTGCAAATATGAGAAATAGCTTAGAGCTTAGTCAAGAAACTATAGCTTAGTCTTCATGAGGAGAAGCCAAAGAATAAATGGAGAGTCAGTTCACCGGAAGGGTCTCTCATCCAGGCTTCCCACAGAAGTCTGAAGTGAGGCCCAAGATGTCTCTTGCTAGTAAGACGAGGCGCTTTCCCCTGCTAAGAGTCACAAGTTCAACTTCTGCCCGTGGCCTCTGGTCCAAAAAGAGTTTGCTTTCAGTCAGGACGTCCACATCACAAAATCCTAGGTGCAGCTGGTTATGAGGCCAGAGAGCGATTGGGCTGTGGAGACCAGATTAGCTTGCAGCACTAGCAATATCTACTTAATCTATGTATCCTCTGTTCAGAGCCAAAGTAGCCTGCGAAGATTTTAAGGCCTGCAAAGCTGTCTTTTGGAATCAGTTATTTGAACATTGTATGAATTAACTCAGGGGTGCCACTCCTGTTTGTCTCTCAAGTAATAAGTACCTGTTTCCTGAAGTCAGTCAGTGACCAACAGGTCTGTGTAAATTTAACTCCTACGTCTTTTGTGATACAGAATACAACTTAAGACGCAATATAGTCAGGATGCCTCCAGCACAAGAAATCTGTGAGGGACTGCAATTCTCAGGCTTCAAGGATTTCTTTCACTGGAGTATCTGCTCTTTCCTTAATATTGCCCTTCCAATGTCCCAGAATCATAGATTCCTACCTTTCAGAACATTCAGTTTGCTGTCCACTTTGGCTATGCAAGAGCTGGAGAAGTCAGGAGCATCACTTTCTGGGGACATAATCTTTTGATACTTGGAAGAACTTTTGCTCTCCATTGTTTCCACTGTAAACTGTTGTGTTACATTTTTAGTTGGATGAACCAGCTGTTGCTTTGTTTTCATATGTCCCCTGCAAGTGATTTTGCCTTTAATTTTTGAGGGTGTGATTAATGAAATTTGACCTGTGACACCCATTATTTGGAAAGAGGACATTCATTTTTTTGAGGTAAACTGATCTTTTGTTTCGGGACGGGGAAGAACTGACCAAAATAGAGCAGTAAGGATTTGCAGAATTGATGTATACATAAGCAGGAATAAATCACTCCCAGCTATCAGAAGCTGGCGGTGATGAAGCTGAGATGGCTGACCCTCTTATGTTGTGTATGTAATCTTTCAGGTTGCAATTCCCCCAGCTGGCCCTGAGGCGAAGGTTGGGCCAGCTGAGCTGTATGTCTAGGCCTGCTCTGAAACTCCGTTCTTGGCCTCTGACTATTCTCTATTATCTTCTGCCTTTTGGTGCTCTTAAACCCTTGACCAGAGTGGGATGGAGGCCTATGAGCAGGGTAAGTGCGAGCAGGTCTCTGCTGTGCTATGTATGTTAGCTGTTTGATACTGAAGGGAGCTGGCAGCAGCTGGGTGGAGGGATACTTAATGTGGAACAGGGTGGTGATCGCTAGTATGAAAAGAGAGAGATGCAATTCATGTTTCTCTTGAGGTTTTACTCTTTGTAACTGTGGTGACTAATTGCTTCACAGACAGATGGCTGTTCAGTAGCAGAGAATTTCTTCATGTCCTCTAGCGGTCGTGGGTACGCCCAGGAAAATCAGTAGAAACTTTTGAATTGATTCAGTCACCTGTCCTCAGGTATCAGGCCTAGGATAAGGCAGACCAAACTGTTTCTCCAGTTCCCTTTCCTGGCCAAATTCAAATGGTCTTGTTTGCTGTCATTTTTGCATAAGAAGGGTTTGTTTCTCGTTTTTTGAGCATCTGTAATCCAGACTGTCCAAACGACATGCTAATGCGAATCTCTGTTCTGAAGCTGTGGGTAGGAAGCCTTCCACATAAATATTCTTTAAACGCATTGTGCAACTACAAATGCAACATCCACGCAAATATTTTGACTGAAAACTGTAACAAAACTGCACTTCTTGAGATGATTTCCTTTTAACAGCTATTCTTTGATCCCATCAATTTGAAAAGCAGTCTTTTTTTGAAGAGTAGGTGCTGCTGGTAGCACCACTAGGTAGGTAGGTGCCACTCGGACGATTTTTGTGACTTTACAGTTGTATCTGTGCACTTTCACTGTTTGTAGAAAACTGAGCAAAATTGATTTTAGAAACTGACACTGTATAAGGCATGTCAAATAAAATGGCAATACATTTTTCTTTAGTGCTTCAGTGTATGTAACCTGAGGTACCACTGATTTAAAAGTTTTTATTCAAAGTAAGATTCAACTGGTGGCTTCTTTCTTAAATATCACTGTATTTTGCTGTGATGCAGGAGAGTAATTTGTGAGTGGAATAAGTGTATTTGATAGGACGGACAAGCTCTCAGCTGCTGTGTGCTTCTGTGTGCATTTATTGCTGTATTCTGCAAGGCTTAATAGTGAAGGATATGATTGACTAACATTGGGAATAAATGATGACTTTTGCTAAGGAAAAAAATTTTTTTTTTTTAACTTGGAAGTTAAATCTAGCCAGTTGTACGGTTCAAAAAGACTGTACCAGATTTAGCAGATTACTATTTCTTTTGCAAAACTGGTTTCAGAGGGTTCAGTGTCGTGCCCCCCTCCTCCCCCCTAGTTGCATCATGCTCATACAAGTCATCATGCTGATACTAAGTACCATAAACCTCAGAAGAGTTATTTCCTGGAATTACCCAGCAGGAAGACCTGTCCTCTGCCCAGTTATATGACTAGCATACCTCTTAACATTGTTCCATTTGTTTTTCTTGCTACTAAAACTTATGCTTTGGCATAAGTCCAAAGGTAAAAGTCTCTATTAGCAACTCCCATCCTTGCAAGAGAAGGAGCAATACTGCCATAAGTTTACACCAATGTAGCAGCATCCACATGGGTATGTTTCTTTAATTGTTCCAGTATCCTTGGAGCAGTACAATTGTGAGGTGTAGAAAAATACCTTCAGTACTAGATGGCCATTTGAGAAGTACCTTATCAAACATGGAGAAGTTTTTTTTTTTTTTGGTCAATTTTCCTTTGATTGTTTACAAAAATGAATATATTGGTAATGTTAAACCCTTCTGATGAGAGTTCTACTAGAATATGTGAATGTGTCTTTTTCTTGTGTAAGCCTCACATGGGCAGTTTCCAGTAACTTCCATGTGAAGCTTCAGCCTGCAAGGGAATGGAGTCTCTGACTTCAGTATAAAGTTATAATAAGCTCCATCGCTCCATTCTATCTCTCATCTGTTCTCATCAGAATGGCAGAAGTGAGGGTGAAGGGCAGTGTAATTTTCTGCAGACATCAGGGCTACTTCCTATGCGGTGTAACTCACTGAATTCAAGGCAGCGTAGGCAGGAGCAGTTTGAGCCCTTCTGTTTTATGGGGAGAGGTGAGGAAAGCCAGCAGCGCGAAGAACTGTGAATGACATGGTGTAATTCTTCTTTAGGTTGCTTTGTACAAATCGGTACCAACTCGCCTGCTCTCACGAGCCTGGGGTCGCCTGAACCAGGTGGAGCTGCCTACATGGCTCCGGAAGCCTGTTTACAGCTTATACATCTGGACATTTGGCGTGAACATGAAGGAGGCAGCTGTTGAAGATTTACATCACTATAGAAACCTCAGTGAATTCTTTCGTAGGAAGCTGAAACCACAAGCACGGCCAGTCTGCTGTTTGCACAGTGTGGTGAGTAAAAGGAAATGACAGCTTTACGCTACAGGCTTTTTCCCCCAGAAAAGGAAGATATCTAAACTTTGCCTCGGATGTGTAATTAAAGGACACAAAGCATAGACCAGAATCCCACACAGAGCTTTCCAACTTTGCTTTTTACAGGAGCGAGATGTGAAGGAAGAACAGTGTATTCAGTGTTCGAAATGATCGGTTGATATGTTTTTTTGCCTGCTGTGATGGCTGGACAGATGAGGTATGCATGAATTTCTAATGTGTTTCATTTTTTCTCTTCTTTGTAGATTAGTCCCTCTGATGGAAAGATACTTAACTTTGGACAGGTAAAAAACTGTGAAGTGGAGCAGGTGAAAGGTGTTACTTATTCGCTGGAATCTTTCTTGGGACCTCGCATCAGCACAGAGGAGTTGCATTTTAGCCAAGGTAAGTTGTGCATCGATTAGACCTTGCACATGCTCTGCTCTGCCACTTCAGCGCGCTCGGAGAGCAAGAGAATACAGGTGTTTTTTTTTTTTTTTCCCCCCCCCCCCAATGTCAGGAACAAAAGTAGTTCTGCTTTTTTTTAATTTATATTTTATATTTGAGGATAAACATATCACCGTATTTTAATTCTCTTCAGTAGCTTTGTACCATCTTGCCTGAATCATTCTGATTCTCTCCATTAATCACTTGGTTCCTTTATGTGTAGTGTTTATTAATGATTAAACCAGATTTCAAGATCTGCCACTGTAACGAGGCTGTAGAACTCCTGCTTGTCACTCAAATGTGCCTAACCAGCTGGTTAGCAAAGGCTGTACAAGCCGCTCCGTACAGAAGTTTCATGGAGAAGCACCATACCTCAATTGTGCTACCCCTGCTTCTGCTGTGCGTGGAGCACTGTCTTTTAAGGCCTTTGGTTTTGATGAGAGCAACACGTTTTGCTAAACCTGAGAGAGGGCTGCGAAGATAGAGCCCTTCTGCAAACAGTAGAGTTATTTTCAATACATATACAGATGCAATTAATGCATTTTGTAAACCTAAGACCTCTCTACAAATTCAATTCTTGAAAGGGTGGCTTTGAGGAAGAATTCTGTGTTTCACTGGATTTCAGTTTCTGTTGTTCTGTTTGGGGAAGGTGAAACTCTAAAACTAATAAATTTCCAAAATGTTTAAAACTCAGTACAGGATCCAATTCTGTTGTAAAAGGAAACAAGCACCTTGAAATGTTGGATTCCTGGGCTGCATGTGTCTTTCTGTAGTCTCAACAATGCATGTGGGCTGCATGTAGTGCTCTGCTATTACCACTGATTATAATCTAGACTTCTAAGCTACCGTAGATGATTGTATGAAGAATATCTTTAACCCCTTTCTTTCCACGGTTTCCTTGCAGCCCCATCTGGCAACTCATTTCAGCAACAACTTGTCACAAAGGAGGGGAATGAGCTCTACCACTGTGTGATCTACCTTGCACCAGGGGATTATCACTGCTTCCATTCACCCACTGACTGGAGAGTGTCACACCGACGTCATTTCCCAGGTAGGTTGCCGTTCTTAGAAAATGAATGCAGGGCAACTATGGAGGGAAGCACTGCTGTGGGCCGCTGCTGAATGCGACGTGCCAGCGGAGCAGTTGTACAGTCACATGATAGATAACTGGAGGAAAGTGATTTGTCTCACACACTAATGAATTTTAAGGTAGTATAGCTTGTCAGTACAAATCACATATGAATGGTGAAAACAGCAATATTGTATTCAAGCTGTCCTAATTCTTTGAAATAATTGTTGATGCAGGCTGACCTGACTTGTTCCCAGAAAAAGAATTATTCAGTTTGCATCTGAAGTAAAGATAGCTCTGCAGATCAGAGCAAACAGTAGCCTAAAAAAATATGATCTCTTTCCTGTGCTTGGCCAAGAAGATATAACTAAACAGTTACTCTGCTGGAGCAGGCATGATCAAATGTTTTTGTCCTCCTCTCCTTTGCAGATTAAAAAAAAAAAAATTTACTACTTGGTACATAGCAAAAACCTAAGGATTTGGATTTGGTTTCAGATACCCTAAGGGAGAGACAAAGACCTGCCAAGAGGTTTGAGAAATCTGTCAAGTTTCAGGTTGAAGCTAGAGCTTGATTAAAATAATGGAGTTTGAGTGAAATGCTACTACTGGATCCAACACAGCAAAGCAAATGTGGTTTTATAGCTAAAAATCTGTGCAGTGAATCTACTTTACTTTAAGGACTATTTAGGGGTTGAAGTCCTTGAGGTTCTTACTGTAATCGATTTTATCGATTTTCTTTTTAAACTTATTTACTGTATTAGTATTTCCTGGTCTGCTCTAGCTAGCTAGCTACTTGTCTTTAGTAACCACCTCTTTGCATTACCAAAGAGCACTGAGGTGCTTTCGTGCATTGGACAGTTAACCAGTAAACCCTGTTCCTAACGTGTAAAAAAGTTATTTGACTTGCTTTTAGTAGCCTGTGGTCTTCTGTTAGATGGACCTTAAGCTGATACTAGAAGGCTTCTTTCTGTTCTAACTATCAAGGCTGAGACTAGGCACTAGCTCTGAGTCTGTCTTTACAGTGATCTCTCTCAACAGCCTATTTGATGACAGTTAACAGTAGTCATCATTTGGGAATTTACAGATGAAAAGAGAGTGAAGTTAGTTGCATCTCTTGTAGAGGAACAGTATCAGAGAGTGTGGATATGAGTCCCTGCACCTCAAACTGGTGATAGGGGAGTATGTATGACTGATGCTAGAAAAGGCCTCAACAGTGGCAGGTATTTTGAAACGGATTTCCAATACAGGTTTTGCCCCCTCCTTAGTAGCGGGTCATCACTGCCTGGAAACACAGTCAAGGTGAAGCTGTAGGTATGAATGAGTGACAGTGGGGGGCAAGGCAGCATAAAAAGAACCATTCCCAGGTAGGAAATTTGAACCTTTCATTTCCTAACAGGGAAAACTGTACACGTTCCAGGTTTCTTTCAGCCTTCCAATGAAGGATGAGAGTGGTCTTTACCATTTCCCAGTAACTGTAAGGAAAAAGGCGGAGTAATACAAGCCCCTCCTGAGCAGTATTGATCTTTCTGGCCAGAAGACTAAAGATCACATCTTTCTATGACCTGTTGTTTTTACTACAGCCATGTGTTCATTTGCTGTGCTTAGCATTTCTGTCTCTTCCTCCAAATAAGTGATAGAATTGCTTACTTGGCCAGATACAGTTATATTGAAAATACCATTAAGGGCATCACAGTATTGCTACAAGACTGACAGCCTAGCTTGAATATTTTCTCACTGTTGCAGGCTCTCTGATGTCTGTGAATCCTGGGGTTGCTCGCTGGATCAAGGAACTTTTCTGCCACAACGAACGGGTTGTCCTTACAGGCGACTGGAAACATGGCTTTTTCTCTTTAACAGCAGTAGGAGCAACAAATGTGGGCTCTATCCGCATCTACTTTGACCAGGTGAGTAAGATGGTAGTAGGTACCTTCCCTTTTTTGAAGGTTGAGGTTGGTAAGGTATAATGAAAGTAAAAAATTTATGAAAAAAATCTTATTACCCTGAAATTCAGGTAAGTTTCTCTATATTGGTGTTCTGTGCTGACCGTTAATATATGACTAATTAAAATATGAGTAATTTAAACAGTAATCTGCAGTATAGACTTTTTCAATATTCCTATTGTGCTCTTGACTTGTAAGCTCATGCATTGAAAATGCCTGGACACTCACAGTTTACAGCTGTGGTACTGAATATAGGCTGCTGTAATCCTTAAGTAATGGTTTCTTCCTTCTCTGTACAGGACTTGCATACCAACAGTCCAAGTTACTCAAAAGGCTCCTACAATGACTTCAGCTTCGTATCCAACAACAACAAGGAGGGGATCCCCATGAGGAAAGGAGAACATTTAGGGGAATTTAACTTAGGCTCCACTATTGTGTTAATCTTTGAGGCACCCAAGGACTTCAAATTCCACCTTAAAGCCGGACAGAAAATCCGCTTTGGAGAAGCACTGGGCTCTCTATAGAAACTATCACGGCAAGGTGGCTTTACATACAAAGGAACTCGATCACACCACTGAATGTTTCATTTAAAAAGTATGTATCACTCAGCAGGACCTGGGTGAGGAAAACAGTAGATGTCATTGCTATGTTAGACACGGGAGTATTTGCCCTATATTTACATACCGCTGCTGAGTGCAGAAAAAGAATAAGAATCAAATGATCCATATATGCATCAGGTACAGCTGCCTTTAAAAACGTTGACCAGGGAGGTTTCAGTCCCACCCTGTGCCTGCAGTCTTTCACGTTCTCCCCCTCAATGTGCCACAGGATAATTATGTTGTCAGAGCCTTGTAAGTCCCTTTTAAGCCTTCCTAGGCTCTGCAGGTGCGATGGGGAAGGGTGGAGGTAGAGATTAGCTGTATTTAAAAGGATATTGACAGGTTGATTCAAACCTTGAACTTCAGATTTGTAATAGCTGGTTGACAGACCTTGAGTTGAGAATGCGTTCTCGCTTTTGTTTTAAAACAATCCTCAAAAGTTCTTAAAATAAAATATAGCCTGTGAATGCACAGAGAGCCAAACAATTAAATTGGCTACTCTGGCTTTACAGTCCAAACTAAGCAATGTGCACAACAGACAGCATCAGTACAATAGATTAGACTCATCCAGTTTGTTTTCTAATGTTAGACAACTTTAGTTCTTTTACCTGACATTGTCTCTTTAAAAAAATGGACTTTGCACTGTATTTTAAAGCTGAAAACACTGTCTACATTCCATATGATGAAACTGGACATTTTGGAATTTTTTTTTTTTTTTTAGTATTAGCAGACAGATCCATGTGTCCTACCCCTAATCCATGGCTTTATTTTGCCATTCCAGGCCTTAAAGATTTTGTTTATATGAGTGAAAAAACAAGACTGTGACAAAATAACAACAGGATTAAGGGTTGGAAAGTAGAGAGGATGTTAATCTTCTGTGATGCAACAAGATGGCAGCCAAAATAGGTTTTTACTTTCTGATATATATCTTAATTGTTGCTTTGGTCACTGAATTCTTGATGAATTAATTCTTCTTTTTAAAGAACAGTTTCACGTTCTTCAGGATCAATTTTTATTTGCACAGAATGAAATGCCATATGCACTGACTGTGTATTAAAATATTACAGACCTTTGAAGAAATCTAAATTTGCCTCCCAGGTGCATTAGCCTGCTGGCAACTATTTATCTTACTTAAAATAGAAAAAGCCACACCTGTGCTGGGGGCTAAAAGCTCTATGCTGAAGCTTCACCTACAGCAAAACTTCAGAGCCTCTTTTTAACTTCATGTCAAGAAAAGTTGTAACAAATACTAACACCTTGGGTCTGCTGAGCACAGCACTAACTGGCACTGGCAGAAATTGGTGCCAAAGCGAAGAGGAGGATTTCAGTTTTAAAGCAATGTATCAGTTGTTCTTAGAGAATAAACTGTTTTGAGTCCAGGCACTCCCAACACTTAGAACCGACTTTGCTGCCCCGAGACTGTGGGAATGGATGTGCTTGCAAAACCTGCCTTTCTGATCTCTGAAAGATTTCTCATGCTATTTCCTTGCTTGAGCCTTGGGTGTTTTTTCTGCTGCTTCAAGGAGATGGTAGGCTTTGACCAGCTCTTATCTCCTAATGAAAAATTTCTCCTTTGTATGCACTGCAGAAAGTAGAATATAATTTTGTTGTACAAATGTCCAGTTTGCCAAGTCCTGTATGCTTAGCTTGTCATCAGGAAAGAAGGAGTGATAAACTGCATCTTAGGGATGTAGCCCAACTGTGGCTTTATGATGATGGTGGCTGTTTGGGTGGCAAGCAGGAGAAAATTATTCATTTGGCTCCAAGAGTCAATGTTTCCTCAGATTACATGGGGAGGAGTTTGAAAAGCTTGAAGTGGCTCTTGGCCACCTATCTTGTTTAACTTCTTGGTATTAGCAAGTTAACTCCTGCAGTAGTATATAACTATATACAGGTTCTAGAAATGTACGCTTTTTTTTTTAAACGCTTGAGAGTGAGAAGTGCAAACATCAAGCCCACAGGTTAAAGCTGTAACTAGTCTCTTGCCTCAACTTCAAAGATGTGTTAATAGTAGAAAACAAATTTGTTCCAATGGATCAGAGAAAAGAAGAACGAATAGCTTTCCACCTTCTCCACTGGGCCCTGTGGCACCTGACAGCCAAAGCAACTTTAAGCTTTAATTACTTGCTACTCAGCATCAGCAGCAGCAGTATCTGAAAGTCACCATTAGCCTAGTAATGGAAAATAGGTTGCCTGATCCGTGCTTTAATAGGAAACTAGGAAGAGGGAGAGGATTCAGTGTGCAAATGGCTGTTTTTGTGATGGTCTTAATACGGTGCAGAACTAGCTGATTAAAAAAACATTAGTTGTTAGGCGGTAGTCAGCAATGGGCCCTGGAAGTGGAAGCAAAGTTCCTAGAGGATACTGATAATGCTGTGAATTTCTCCTGCATGGAGAATCCATTTAATTCTTCAACTGTATCAGTAGCACGGTATTTTTGTATGTCAAAGTGTATGACTTATTGACATTAACTCATTGAATTGCAAACATTTTGAAATAAAGAATCTTATCAGTATTGTTTATATTTCTGAAATGTCAGGGGCACCTAAACTAGATATTGGTGAGTGCAGCATGAGGTAAGTTAGGCTCCAGTTTGTTTTTTAAACCAGGTATGGTTACAAAACAAACACAAACAAGCAAAAATATTTAAGTGAGCTTATAAAAGTGACAAACATGGATGAAGAGAACGTATACATTTTTTCCATCCCCCTCCCTGCTACAAAAGAGGCAAAAACTGAGCAGATGTTCCTACCCGTGAGCTGGAAGATTGATTCAACCGAATTATGTATCCAGAGCAACGTGAATGTCGTGGAGACGGGCAACCAAGTTTTGTACATGCTGTCTCTCTTTTAGTTGTGCTTTGGTGAGAGTGTTGATCCTCATCTTCACCTGAAAGTGAAGAGGATTACGTAAGCTGTTTGTAGAGCAAGGATGCTTTTTTTCAGTCTTTTTTGACAGAGGAAGACTAAATGAGCTCTAACAGCCTTTATATTATCCCACTTAAATAAACTGAAGTGACAGGATTGTGTCACCTCTAACCAGTCAAGCATCAGTTAGCTGATACAGGACTCGGACTTTGCTGTACAAAGTGGGGAACAGAGTACTGGAGTACTGGAGATCCAGTCATGCAGTGTACTTAAGCTGTCTTGAGAAGCCGTAGAAAAGTTCTTAGAAAGAGCTATAGGTGCTGCAGTCACATTTCTGAATGAATAAAAAGAGGCATTTACGTTGCGGTCCTTGGGCTGTCGAACAGAAGGCTCTACAGTTCTTTCCTTTCTGATTACAAGTTTCTCTTCTCTTGACATTTTAATAATAGTTTGCTATAGAATTCCCTACAGCTACCTTCAGCCTAAGTGCATAGCATAGTGATAATCACTTAAGTAACTTGAGTTTGTTTGCTAAGTACACACCTGATCCAATTCTTCTTGTAGACCATCTTGGTCCTCTGGTTGGGTGCTTGTTTCTAGCCACTTCTGCAGAATCTCTGCCTGCTGCTGACAGGACCTGATAAAACGGATTACAAGGATTGCTTATCCCAGGAGGATCTCAACAGTCTAAGCCAACTTAGACTTGCAATTGATAGTTGCAATAGCACCCAATTTTTAGTCTCAAACTGGTAAATGCTAGGAAAAAAAAGGAACGCTGGAAAGCAGAGAAATCCGCCTGAAAGCTGGCGCCTGTCTCCTACCCTTATTTCCTAACTAACTTCTTCCTTTCCTCACAGTTGGATCCCCTCCAAGACCCATTCTCAAGCATTTTTGTAAATTTGTGCTTATTCTAATAGAGAAGTAATCTGTTGCCAAACCCTAGCCATAGTTTTTGGCATTGACATTTGGAAAAGCTAAGTCTTCCTTCCTGATGATGAAAGAGCTGAAAGCTAAATTTTAGCTACTCTGCCAAATAATTCATTTGTATTGTGTTTAGATTATACCCACTGGCGTCTCTGCCCTGCTTTTTCCAATAGCTGCTAAAAGAAAAATTAAATTAGTTGCCAATTACAAAAGAAGTTGTACATGCAGCTCCCACCAAGAGTCAACTCCACAAGGAAAAAGCACAAAATCGCTATAACTATTGTTTCAGTCACGGCTCTGCTGTGAAACAGACTGGTTTTAAAGTAAATCCGCACATACGAATAGTGCAGTACTGAGTTGAGGGCATGAAGAAAGGCTGGCTAAATGGGCTTTGCAACATACTTGAGTTCCTGCTTCCTGCTGAAGTAGTACTCCATTTGCTGTTGGATATGTTGGAGCTCTTCTTCCAGCTGACTTTGTAACACCCTTTCTTCTCTGGAACTGCGCTCCCTTTCTTCCCCTTCTGCTGAAAGGAAGATACAAGGCACAAGCACTGGAAGTGCAGCAGTCCTATGTATTTTTAATTCTTCTCAGGGAAGTTCAGGTTAATAGACAGGAAACACGGAACCCTCCACTGAGTCCTCCTCTCCCATTTTGCCAGCATGTAACATGTACCTCTTCACCCAAAAGAAGCAGCCCAGCAAGAGGGCAGGGATCTTGACAGAGATTACAAGCTCTCAAGGCTTAGTTTAAGCATACCAGAGAACATAAGAAACCCTCCAGCACGTGGTTTAGTGTTACAAAGGCTGTTTGGGCCTATTCATTATGAAATGTTTTACATCTACGCTAGAAGCAAGTCAGTCATTCTGGTCCCATGGAGCATGTAAATGTCATGCCTCATAGTTCATGGAAAAACACCATATTGAGAGGTGTTTGGAAACCATCTATCCCCTTTAAATTTCCTCAGCAATTACAATACTGCTGTAGAGAACCTTACTAGGTGAATTCTTCTCTCACAAAGAGAATTCAGCTGTACATTCAGCTTTGTGTACATGAACACTGCCACACTAGAGTATGTTCTTGCTAAAAAAGATGACCCCCTCCCCCCCCCGGTTCCCATTCTTCAATCCCTAGAACAGGACTTTAGCCCCCCCCCGATTCAGCAGAGTCCACAAAAAAGAATGACTGAGCTGGGGACCTACTTGCGGTTTGATGACTCTCTTTTCCCTCAAAATCTTCAGGTGACAGCAGATGTGGCTTCAAGTTTGGTCGCAGTTTCTTCCTCACAGGGGCCTGTTGAGAATCTTGGGAATGTGCTTCTGTGCGACCATTCGCAGGCTGACCTCCTCTCTACAAGACCCAAATGACACTATTTCACTCCTCCAAAGGTTTTCTTGAGTGAGCTCTGCAAGCAAGAATGCACCTGACCCAAGCTACTAAGCCCCGCTCCCACGCTAAGACATCCCCTGTAGTTGTTGAACCTCTCAGCAGCTTTGCTTATTCTATGATATTTCAAGAAACTGGAGCTCCTTCATTTATAACAGCGAGAGAGCGCTTTCATCAAGGTTAGTGCTTCTCATTCTTCACAAAACAAGAGGAGTTTAAACTGCAAGCACCTACTTGCAGGTGAACTGAATTTAAATTTTGCTGTTGAGACTCTCGGCCATAGCCACAGCTACTAAGCTGAGTTACTCTCAAATTCCTATAATTTGGCTCGCAAACTGTAACTGCTCTAAACTCTTTGAAGGAGCTGCACTCTCAAATCAATTGCTAGGAAGACTATCCTGCTGGGAAGGAAACAAGACCAGGAAAAAGGCATGAATTAAAGTACAAAACACACATTTGCTGCCCTATTAGTGAAGTGTTACTCCAGACTAGTGGTAGAGAAAAGAGTTTTTATGCATTCGGAGCCAATCAATTTGGTCAACTTATAAGATGACAGCTAGAACAAAAAAAGAATCACCCACTGAAGGGGCAGCCCTGAGGAGCCATGGGAAGAAGCAGCAATAAGCAGCTGACAGCGTGTGCTGACAGTAGCCTGATAATTACTCCAGTTTTTCCTCAGCAATACACTGACCTTTTCAGCTTCAGCTTTCATTTGGGGTATGAATGACGAAGGGGGCCACAGCTCTGGCCTCGGATGGATTTGAACAGCATGGTGCATGTCACGTGTCCACAATGGTACAGAGGGGAGAGCAGTGTGTAGGAGAGATGGGTAGGCGTGAGTGGTACTGTCCACTTGAGACAGCTGATTACAGGTGCTTTCTTCCATTTGAGTTGATAGCATTAAGTGCCCAGCCTGAGCAGAACAATTGTTCACAACCGTTTGCTGAAAGGATGTCTCTGATCTGTGAAGGAAGAAAAGGATGAAGTCCCTGTACATTTCAATCCACTCTTCTTGTCCTTTTCAGTCAGTGTCAAAAAATGGAGACTCCTGCTACTCCCTTGCATATCGAAGGGAGCTTGTGCCTTGCCAAGAGTTACCTAGCCTCCTGAACTACCCGCACTACCAGATTATAGCACAGGATTGCTAGAAACCTGCCTCATCCAGGCCTGCACTTAACCCTGCTGTAAAAAAGTAGTATTTCAAAGGAACAAAAATACACAATTTGTAACAGCTTTCTCATTGGCTGCTTTATTATGCAGGGGAAATATCAGTAAAAAACCCTGAAGAACCAACACAATGGGTTAAAAAGCAAAAAAGCAGCAGACCAGCTAAGGTTTCCACTACTCCTACCTACCCTGCTCCAAACCCTCCACATTAATCCAGGCTGAAACAACTTTTTCAGAAGCTGTGAATTCAACCCAAGAACAAAATCTTGCCTTATTTCAGTTTGGGAACAAGAAGGGAGCAGCAGCAGGCAGCAATCACAGACAGGTTTTGACAGGAAATACACATTCCCCTTCTATAAAGCTAACGAGGGACACCTAATTATGTAATAGTTTCATAAAAAAACATTCAGTCTAAACAACTGCTTAAAAAGCAATTTTAGCTTCTACAGCAAGAAGAGTTTCAGCTCCCTCACTCTCAGGGCTAAGAAACAATACCATAACTAATGGCATTGCAACTATCCAGCAGCGCAGACCTTTTGGGAAAGTAACTACAAAGAAGTAGCTCCCTGTAGAACTGCAGAGTTGACTGAGCCAAGACAGAGAGAGAAACATTCAATTTTGGCTCGCATATTAGCAAAATTATTAATGCTGCCCCACAGACTAATTAAATCCAGATCCAAGCCTGTTGTGGAGCAAAGATAATCTATGAGCCAAAAAGCATCCTGCAAAACTCAGACTTCTGAGTTAATGTGGCAAGACAGACAATTAGAAAAAGAAACTTTACTTATTAACTAAGCCTATTAAATTTTGAAAATCAGTGATGTGCCTTATCTTTCCCTGCAAATTCTTCACTAATGAAACAAAGCTCTTGGTTGCTATTCAATTAGCTTGACAGTTCCATTATTCTTGCTGACTTTATAAGAAACCTGCAGTTTTTAAGGTCACCATGCCTTTTAGATAGTAAAGCCCCATAATTCCTGAATGTTCTGTACTGTGAAGGAGACTGAGGGAATAAGCATAGCGTGAGGCCCAGCGTAAGTCTTTACTGTAAAAAAGATTTTCTACCTAGTAAAAGGAGTTCCTAGCAGTTCCTTGCTTTCTAGAGATTCCAGAAGGAAGTCAGGTCTTCGTGGCGGTAACCTTGCTTGTCGAATAGCATTTCTGAAAAGAACAAACAGGACCAATAATGCCATAGTTTGATGATTACTTTAAACTGGCATAAGCTGGCATTGCAGCTAAAAGTCATATCCTCTCTTTCATCCCTGCTCTGCAACATTTCCTTTGCATGCAATAATAATGTAAAGATTAATTTCAACCTTTATCAATTTTGTGATCTGGTTCCCTGCATGAATGATTGTACCATCACAAGAAGTGGTCAAAGGGGTAGAATTGAACAAGGCGGAACCACTTCTTCTGGCAACATAAGCTAGCTTAAAGAAGTATGAAGCTATCACCTAATTCCCCTTGAAGGCTCCTGTCCTGGGCTGAGAAGCTTCACTGAAGATTCTTCCTTGCAATGACCCATGATCAACAACAATTTTTAAGGAATAGCTTCGCCAGGGAGAAGAGGGCAAGAAGAAAGTCCAGTTTCTACACAACCAGGACCTTGGTGCTTATCATTTCATCAGATCCTACATGAGTTCAGTGAAAAAAGAAAAGCTGGCTCTAGGTCACTCTGGCTAGATGAGCTTTCATGACAGTAAAGACCCTGCTACCACACATCTTTCAAACGTTCCTCTACATAACAGCTCTCCTAACAAATGACTGAGGCTCCATAAATTCATAGCTGTATATTAAGAAACTGCTCCTGGAAAGTATTTAGGTGAGCTGATGCTACTCCTGGCTGATATAGAAGTATAAAGTCATTAATTCTTTTGTTATTTGTGGGCAGATGTATGTATTATGCAGCAGCTCTGGCATAACTCAGCAATAACAGACATAAGGTGCAGTACCAGAAGAGAGTTAGGGAAACTGCATGGAACTAACAGCAGTCACTGTGAAAGGCTGGAAACATCAAAATGAGCCTGAGAACTACAATGCCAGAGAAACACAGGAGAGATTAAAACTTTATACTCACAGCTCACTGAGAATCGAGTCCCCAGCAACAAGGAGAAATGGTAAATCATTGCTTTTTAAGGGCCATGGCATTTCCTCTGCTGAATGTCCTCTTGTCCCACGGCTAACATCAGGCACCTTAAACGTTACTTGCTTCTTCAGAGGCGGCAGAAGAGAAGGCTTATTTAATTTCTTGTAGAGCGCCTTCTGTTTCCAGAGCATGGCACAACGATACACGGATTGGTGAAGGTTGTAGGCTGCCTGCCATCACAAAGAATAGTGGATCATTTGCTGACTGAGAGCAGGAAGTAACACCTCCTGGGTGTCCTAGGGAGGAGGACACCACAGAAAGGAACTGAGATTTCTGATGACATTGCAGCTATACCTGCTCTCCATGCTAAATTAGCAGGTCCACCACGCATTTGGGAAAAGAGAATTAACCAAGCACTTCCACAACGAGGCAGGCTGCACATTAGCAAACAGAACAACTGCTATCTTGAAAACCTGAAAAGGAGCTGGGAGAGCTACCCAGGAAGAGCAGGTGAGCAAACAACACTGGCAACTCTACCTTCCTCTCCACTCACAGGGCTAGACTGACATGCACAAGTAGAAGTGACACTGCAGCCCACACTCAAAGTGGTGCTAAAAAAGCGGTGCTAAAACTAGGACAGGATTAGACGCAGCCTTTCATATTTTGTGCTAGCACAGTCCCTAGAGTTTAGGGACCCCACCCAAAGGCAAAGGTCTCATGCAGTTCTCTATTCTCTATGGTGGGGATGGGTCAGTTTTGAAACAGCTTCTTTAAGAAAGGTCCCCAATTAGCAACACCAGCCTGAAGTGCTCTAGTCCCAGCTGAGTGACCCAGGACAGGGTGTTCCATTTTAAACCACAGGCAAAAGCGTATGTCAGATCCAAACAAGAGCTTAGACTTAGGGGTCCAAGACCCTCTCCCCTCCATAGATCAGACCAACGCAGTGCCCTGGATGATCACTTGTCTCTTTCACCTTCAGCTGGTGCTGGGCTTGGAGCTGCCTCCGCAACTGTTTCATGCCAGCAGTGTATCTCAAGATCCGGGTTACACCTTCTTTCAGAAGGGGAGAGCGGTGAACTCCTATGGCTCTTTCAATGCGATCTTTCTTCCGCTGTTGCTCCCGGGCAAGTCCCAGCCAAGCACCAAATACCTTCAATATGAAGAGCAGATAGCTGCAAGGGTGCTACAGAGATGAGTCCCAGGTTAGGGACTCCCCCTGCAAACAGGGACGGACTCCGTTCCACTGGTCAGTAATAAGTAGGGCTACAGCAGGACCACAATACAAGGGCAAAGAGACAGGGATTTAAGTCAGCTGAGGCTGGATGGGGAAAGCATGTGCAAATTTTCTAATTAGATAAGAGGATTTGGGGACAGCTTTTCAGCATCCCAAAATGACATACAGCACTCCAAAGATCAAAGGAAAGAGATGTTCCACATGCACTTTGCCTATTGCAGTCACATCATCTGCACACATCCCAAAAGCCCTTTGACTGTCCCGACACCCTTACCTTTCCCTGCAATGAAAGGGACCAGTGCCACAACGCTTGCACTGTCTCCTGCTTCTCCCATTGCCGCTGCGCCAGCTATCAGGAAAAAAAAAGCACAGCAACCAGGTTAGGAGTTTACATGTCCCACACCAAAAACTGCAGCCAAATGGAGCATTAACCAAAGGGGGAGCACTGGTGGAAGAGAAACAGAACAGCCTACCTTGTTTGTCCAGTATACACAAGGTTTCCCTTGTGCTAGTGGAACCAAAAATCCAAAGAATGTTTAAACCCATTTTTATACTCTCCATGTATAAACGGACTACGAAGGAGAAGAAGGGATAAAGATCAGCAAGGAGCTAGATACTTGCCCTGGGGGACAACTCCTTACCTGTCTCTTCCAGCAGGAGAAGCAGTTAGAGCAAAGTCTCCGAGTCATTAGCTGATAACCCTGTCTTTGTAGGAGCTGTCAGGCAACCAGAACAGCGAGTCACTCTCAGACAAACCCCACTTATCTGAGCCAAATGCTGTGAGAGCAGAACAAGCACAGAACAGCCTTTATCCCTCAATACCTAATTTCTATGGTATAACCTCTTTAGCAAATATCCGTAAGCCCAGCAAGGATTCCATAAAGAGTTAATGATCCCACACATGGCAAGCCCTGCTTGCTGTCTCCTGTTAGGTCTATTAGTTCTGTCGAGATTTCTTCAGGCAAGACACAGGTCATTTCCTTCCTCCTCAGTGCACAAGGCACTCATACTCCTCCTCAGCCAGCCCTACCACCCCCTTCACCAGGAAACATGGCCTTATCCCCCCGCACCAGCCATTTCCTAGCCTATGGTCACTGGCTGGGGAGGTGTTGATCCTTCTCACCATCTTCGCAATACATCGCTGATGGTATTTCTTCCATTTTACCAGGTACTTCTGGAGCAGGCGCTGTTGATGGTGCTGCACTGCCCTGTCCTGCTTAGCCCTCAGCATCAGAGACTCCCCAGTTAATTCTTTCCAGTGAAGAAACAAGGTCTGTAAACGCACTGTTAGGAGAACACAAATCAACTGCAGTTTCAATAGGAGACTATTTATCTCAGCGAGTATCAAGAGATTAGCTCCTCTTTCGGACTGTTTTGGCAATGCTCAGCATTAAGAATAGTCTAATACTTCAGGTAATGAACAGGGAGCTGGGACTTGCAAGTCTTCCCCATTGCCACTGACAGTCTTCCTAACTGTTAGGTAATCATTTGCCCTCTTTGTGCTTCAGATTCCTCACTTTGAGGACGTGAATGATACCATGAAAATGCTTGCAGAATTTGAGAGCCATTTCATATTAATCACTAGAGAAAGACTGAGGTAATAACTGATAACATTACTTGCACTACTCTCAAAAAAATGCCTGAGCTCTTCATGGTTAGTAATGGAAAATTCCTTTGAGGAAGGAAGGATTATCATCCATTACATAGACAGGGAACCAAGAGAGAGGCAAAGGTCACGCAGTAAGTCCGCGATAGATCACAGAGTAGTCCCAGGTCATTCCCCATTCTTATGGGGCCATCCTCTATAGGAATAACACACAATCCGTCCAATCATTTCATCTATACAGATGAAACAAAAGGCTGCACTACTAAGACGTATCCTTCTAAGGATCATACACAAAAAAGAGTCTTTTGACAATTTAATATCTCCATCAGCTTACCTATATCCAAATGCTTTCTGACCTCCTTCACAGCTGCCACCTTCTGCTGACGGTAATATACTTGTATTGAGGCAGCATCCCTCCACTGTAGCAATACCTGAAGATATAAGTCAAACAGGAGACAGGACGCAAACTGACACTGCAATGTTCTTGAAGGTGGAAGCAACGTACACCACACTGCTGGCACCACAACCATTTCCATCTCATTTCTCACGTCAGCCTCAGCAAGAGGGTACAAATTCCCTCCAAATGAACTACAGCACTATTTCAAGGGGTCCCTGCTGCATTTTTCAAGTAATTTTCTGTCCCCACACAGCTATTACTACTGTACCGTATCAGATTACTTCTTTCCCTTCCTTCTAGGAAAAGGGGGTGGGGGCAGGGAACGGAAGAGAAAAACCATGAGCTCGCTGCAGAGATGCCTGCTGAGATAAACTAGAACGAGAGTTGGGACTTTCCAAGTGTTTAGACTTTTCTTAGTAGTGGCTTCTAGATGAAGTTAGGAGCTTTGGTCCTTCTAATTGCATTACCTGACCTCTGCCTGAACTAGTATTTCTTCCTAGACCTTGGTATCGGCTATACAGACCCTACCTTTGACAGGATTGCTCTCCTGTAGTGCTCATCTGCCCGAGCAGCTGCCTTAGCTTCATGTACAAGAGCAAGGGCGTTTTCTCTCCATGTATGCAGCAGCTGCCTGAAGGCAAAATGGAAAGAAAAACATTAACAAGGATTCTCACTTGTTCTTACTTCAACACAACATTTGGTATCCTCCCACTCACTGGGGAACCAAAAACAGCTGCCTTCATAAACTCAGTCTTGCAAATCAGCTTCTGTTTCTTCAGGTCTCTACTGAAGAGAAGGCAGCGCAAAGGCAGAATGCACCCATAAATCTAGCACCTTAAGCAGAGTCAGTCCCGCTTTGCAGGTGTATAGCACTAAAGAAAAAAAAAAGCCATCAGGTAGCTAAAACTAAAGCAACTACAACCAATATACAGTGGCTATTACCTTTAATCACTCTCCTCACTATAATGTAAGGCAGCCTTTACATGTTCCAAGATGTATTAAGGCTAGTGCAGTCAGAATTCATCTGCTGCAGGGAACACTACAGTTTACTGCCTGGCGTCTTTCATGGGACTGAACAGAGATAAGCTCTGGCAAATGCAACAGGCGCAGTCATCACCAGGGAGAGGATTTTGGAACTTGATTAAAGAGACAGTAAAAAAACTAAAGCATAACAGTTGGCAATCCAGTGAGAGGTTGACCTGTTTTAGTAAGATGAGCCGCAGAAAAATAGCAATGCTGTGAAGAGACAATTCCCAGTACCAAATGCTCAAAAATTCACAAAGGTGGCAGCGAAAGAGACAGAGTAATTTGACTGCAGTGCAGTCACTTCCCTCCCATGCTGCACAAGGAAACACAGGCTTACCGCAGCAGCAGTCTAGCGTGTTGTTTCTCCTTTTCAGCTACTTGGTATAGAATGCACTGTACGTTATGCTGGTAACTCTGCAAGAAAAGCAGTGAGAGGTGAGACTTTCCTAAACTGCCAGTACCTCTGAGGAGAGAAGACCTCTGGAAACTCTTAGCAGCAGCTTTAGAGTCCAGGAAAAAATGAAGTTGCAGCCACTGGAATTGAATGCTGTTTTTCTGAGATGCAATAGCCATTATATGCCAGTTAATGATAGCTATCACATACCCTTCACCAAAACCACAAAGTTACATTGGTTCTTTTACTTCAAAAATCAATGATAAAGCTCACATAACCCTATCTAGCGACAGTAGCTCCATTCTACCTTGCACGCTTGGTGTGTAAGCCACTAGAGTGAAACAGTGTGGCAGTTCTTCAGTTCTCACAGTCAAGCACACATAGTTAAGTTCAATAAAGAAAACAGCATTCTCTCCTACCTACCTTCCAGGCTGCCAAGGCTTTGCCCAGTAACGTGTGCTGATAGTGCATGTCTGCTCGCACCAACTTCTTCCATTTCTCACACTGATGTCCCACATACTACAAGACAAAAAAAAAAAAAACACCCAAAACCTGTGACGTGTGCAGAGCTATGAACTATCCACCATGGCCTTGATGTCCATGCTGGTCTACAGACCATGCTGTAAACTTCTAACTTAAGTAAAGCTTTGAGAAGGCCATGCACAGTATTGGCTAGGAACAATTCTATCACGCAAACTCAGGTTACATTCCCACATAAGCCTCCCAAGCTACAGTCCTGTCCCCTGTCTATGGACATCTACCCACAATGAACAGGTTTTATTCACCCGGGAAGAGAGGAAGCTCAGAATGACTAGTATTTAAAATAAAAAAAATCCTTTAATTTTGTTCCTAAAGTAGCCATATAGGTAAAAAATAATCTCAGCATAACAAAAAGGATTCAAGCTTTTCCCCATCTGTTAAGTTTCTCACCTTTCTCCACTTGTTCCAAGACTGCTGCAGACACTTGGAATCATGAAATTGTAAGGCTTGCATCTCCTTGAGCCTCCTAAAGGAAAAACAATTGAATTTTCTCTTACAGTGTAACTCACGTTAGCGAACCCCTCCAGCACAGACATGAGTTCACACTCGCTATTTTCTGTAAGTCACGTGCTGAGAGAAAGACAAACTAGTAGATTCTAAAGCACAAACAAACAGTCAGAGTCACTGTGAATTAAATACTGCTTTGTCAAAGCGGGCTGCCACAGGGCCAATCCAAAGAGTTCTCCCTTTTGAGAAACTTCTTACTCTGTTTTTCTCTCCTGAGTATTTTGCTTCCACAGACAGAAAGCCTTTAACAGCAGCACATAGCTGTAGTGTTCTCTGGCACGAACCAAGCCCTCTTGTTCCTCCAGGCACGCAGCTGTTCTTCTGCGCCAGAAGCACCAAAAACCAACCAACAGTTGCCTCTCAAAATGAAGTACAGCCTATAATGGAGAGAAGAAAGCAATGAATGCATGACACAGGCCGCTTAGAAACAACAGAAGAAGACAATTCTTCAAAGGCAACAGGCATAAAACTGTCCTATTATTTTTACCCCTCCTCCGCTCAAGTTGAATAACAATGGACACATGTCACCTGTCATAAAAGCCCCCTTCACATGAGTTTTTCTGAGTGCATTCTGTAGGTACCTGCTTGTGTGGGCGGAGAAACCATTACCAGAAAACAGCAGGCTGGAGAGAGGAAAAATATAGGCTGATAAGTAGCATGTGAAAGTCTCTGAAGAACTGATAAACTCCGGAGACTAGTCCTGTTGAATTCACAAGAACTGATAAACTTGGAACACAAAGAGTTGGCTGAATCTGCACAAGGCCACCAGCAGACGCTAACATCAAAGGGTTGCATAACTTGGACCACATCAAAGAAAACAGTGGCTGCTATAAGCAAACAAAGACTACAGGATTATATATACACCTGATGAAACAAAGGACCCCTGGCGGGACTTTCTGACCACCTAGAAGCCACTTGTGTGTCAGTACAACTCTCTGCTTCTTAACAAACATTTGGGGTTGGCCTCCCAACTGAGGCTTCAACCACACAACAAAGGGAGAGAGAGACAGAGAGAGTGTGCGTGTGTGAGAGAGAGAGAGAGAAAGAGAGAGTGAGAAAGAGACAGAGAAAGAAAGAGAAAGAAAGAGAGAGTATGTGTGTGTGTACACGCACATATTGTGTGAGGGAATAGTGAATAGTTATCTACTGTTAATAATAACAGCTTGAGCCTATTACTAAGAATAGCTTAATTTTGAAAAGGTGTTCTAGTAAACATTGCTTGTGATCTGCATCTCCCCCAACTTGAGAGCCCGACCACGGAAAAGGGAATTTGCAACACCATCTCATGTAACTGATGTTCACAGATGGTGACTAAGAAATCATCCCCTCTATTTCCTGATCAAGGCCAGACAGAGAGTTACATTTACCATCTTCTCTCCCATTCGGTACTCTTGCTGCTTGCATGCCCCCAGCCACCACATGTCAAATATCTTTCTCATCAACACCTCCCTGCAAGCAAAAAGGGGAATGTCAGCACGAGAGAGAACTCCTTTAGACAACAGGTTGATGTTTCAGAAGACCTATCTGTCTACATGTTAAATAGTTACCTGATTCTGAGTCATGCAAGCCTTTTTTTTTAGAAATCAGTGAGCTATATATCTTCATTATTCTCTGAGTTAAACAAAAAAAAAAAGTGTGGTAATTAGCCCACCCCCTGAAACTCTACCCAGAACACATAAGATTAATTATTTCATTGAAGTTATTAGAACCCCTTGCTTTCATTCAGATCATTCAAAAGATTCTAATTTCTTATCACTTCATTAATTTTACTTACTAACACACACACACAGAAAATTATAAAATAACCTTTAACAACTTCTCCACTATAAAAACAGCCTACTCCCTCCTCCCTTGGAAATATTTTAAAGATCCTACTCTCTACTTTTTTCTTTTTTTAAACAAACATTGTAATAGGACTTGTAAAAAGTTATGGCAACAAATAATAAAGAGCAGCAGTGTGGCCTGATATCAAGAATGAATGGATTCTACCAAAGTCATCTTCTATGAACAAGATCAGGTTAGCTGCCCTGCTTCTTTCCCTCCAGGTGAAGATAATGCTTACTTGCTAGTCTGCCTCCTTCCCAGGGAGACACAAGTAACTATTATAAATTACTAGTCCAAAGATGCAATATATATTTGGGATTGAGCACCATATCTCTCTCACACAGAGCAAGCATATGGTAGAAATGTCCTCGTCCAGAAGCCTGAGCTACTGCCTAATGGAAATAATACCCAGCTCAAACTACATCAGCTCTTTCTAAAACTCGGTTATGTGAGTGTACTAATTGGACTGCCAGCAAGTCCCAGCCCTTCTCTAGTCTGAAGAGCCCTGAAAGGTATTTTGGACTCCTACCAGGTAGTTTTTGGTAAGTAGTTATTACAGTTAATTACAAATTTATAGGTTGGTAAACAACATGAGTTAAGGAAGTCTTCCTAGAAGGTACTGGTGGCTGCCAACAAGAGTGTCTTTGATCCGTGTACAGTCACAAATCTGAAAATTGATAGCTCTTCTGGAGCATCTCCTGGGTCTGACCACAGATGCAGCAGTTGGGCACTGACTGGTAGGACAGTATGTATGTGCATCAGAGACAGATGTGGAAAGCGATCTCTGGAAAGCCACCATGAAAGTTTTATTTAGGCATAGGACTGGCTGGGAAGCACTCTCGGACTTCTGAACAAGGATCATGCTTCTTACGATTCCTTCTTTTGCATTCAGAAAAGTTCATTTATACCCGTTTAAAAGACTAAAAACTGCACACAAAAATATTCCTGACTCCTGGAATCAAGGTATGGCTACAGAACCCAAGAGAGGCTTTGAACCATCTGTTCCTCCCTTCCCTGGTGAGAGAGGTGCAAGTTACATTGCAGCAGTTTCATGCTGCAACTCATCTTCACTGAGCTTAAACCTCCTGGGTCTTTGAGCCTCTTCTCCTTCTGTCTCCAGAGCACAAGCTAATGCACCACAGCTGCACTCTCACATGAGTTGGAAAAACTCCTAATTGCTTGCAGAAAGGCAGCTGCTCTCATTACTCAGTCTGCCCTCCAAATCTGCTTGTGAATCTCTCAAAAAGTAAGCCGATTTCTAAGGCAAAACAGGCTTTCTCCAGTTTAGTTTTCAACTGTGAAGGCAGGCTTCTGATGACAGAAGCACATCAGTCTAAGAAACACAGGGTGTGACTGACCTCTCTAAGTGAAAGATGCAAGGTCTCAAGCCTGCTAGGAAAGAAGATTCAATGTTAAAGAACAGGTTTTTCCCAACTTACACAGGAAGAATGGATGCGAGGAGGGCATCCACTGTAAGAGTATATGTCCAAATACAGCCTTTTTCAAGGGAAGCAAACTTTTTGTTAGTCTTCTAATATAGAAAATGGGAGCTATGGTTTAATATAGTATCATAGTTCTACCTGAGGAGGGTCAGGACTGCATCCACAAATAAGACTACAAGCCCAGTCTTTATGAAGTCTTACACAAAAAAATAATTAATTTTTCTCTTTTCCATCAAAATTGTTCCCATGCGATTTCCATAATGAACAAATACATACTCCTGTATCTTAAAACTCCGTGCATAGCCTCCATAATATACCAGTAAAAGTAATTAGCAATTAATATTGTTCTTCTAAGACAAAGGCTAACAGTCCAGTTTTCAGAGGTGATGAGTACCCATAGCATCCATTTATTTCACCAGAAAACAGAAATGCCAAACATCGCTGAAGAAGAAAGATTCCTAGTGATTTTGCTCAATTTTACACTGTAAACCAAAACAATTCCAGCAGTTGTAATTTATTTATTTTGGTGCAAGGCTGCAGTTGTGAAACATAACCAGTATAATCATTTTAAGTCTGGGTGCTTTTCCTATGAGTTCCAAATTGGTCTGGGAGCTAAAATTAAAGCTTATGGGAACACCTTGTCTATTTCATATTGAATCCAACTGCACATACTGCAACTGACTGTAAGGTACCTAACCAAAGTTCTTATTTCTTCAGTGACCTCTGAGCAAGAGCAAAGTGATCCTGATGTCAAGACAACAGACAACCAAATTACAAACAAGCAGCAATCACTCTTGAAGAAATCTTTCCAGTGGGCCTCTCTATTTTCATAAGGTGATCTAAGCAAATCTTATAAAACCTGTAATTTGTTACTTTGATGAGTTTGAGAGCAGCCCAAAATGTAATGCACCATCTGCCATATAACATCTGCCAAATCTCATTCCGTAAGAACAATCGCTGTACCTGTGGAAGCACACTGCCATTTCTTTCATTTCTCTCCAGTGCTGTTCACAGTTCTTAAACTGCTTCCATGTCTGAATGGCAGCAGGCAAAATTTTATTCCCCGAATGCCTATCAGCTTTGACATACTGCATCTAAACGGAAGCAACCAACTTTATTCCATTTCAGAACAACATTTCCTCAATCTCTATCTCCCAGGGAATTAAGAACAAGATTGTCTGAAATAAATAACCCTAATAAGCTTAGAATAAAATTACTGACATTTGGCTTTAAGTGTTGGATTCTAATCTTGGAAACAGTGAACACTTCTCTTGGGGAATGAAACTGAAAACGAACAGCACCTCATTAATAAGTGATTGTGGTGATATAAGTGATAATAAGTGATATGAGAAGCACGTTATTTATTTAGGTTGGGTATTCAGTTGCTCATTTATCCAGTGCTACGCACAGGGATTACAAACATTGCTAACAAACTACAACTGAGGCCCTAAAATTAGAAACAAAATGGGGACAAAGCCAATGCCTAGTTTTCCATTACTCCAATAAGGACAGAAGGTAAAATAAACCACCCAAGTGGCACCTAATTTACACATGAGCAAATAGAAAACTATCCTTAACCAAAATCAGTTTTCTTTTTGTTTCTTTAAACTGACTAAACTGCAGAACTGTCTCCAATTTCACATTCTTTTTAACCTTTCCTTCCCAAAAAACAGTCCAAATGATATGCAGCACTCTGTTATCCACTTAAAAGACACCCAGCTTCACACTGAATCTCATACTGAGGCTTGAGGAGACTACCCTGAAGTAGTCTTTATAATGTAAATATCATCAGAATCGGAGTACAATTACCCTTCTCAACTAGCAATTGCTGGAGCATCATCTGCCCTGGAGAGCAAAATAAAAGCAAGCAAACAGTCCCCAAAAGATTCAGAGAAAGGTGGTAGCTGACTGCGCCCAACAGTCAATGCTCAGCAAAGCCATGACCAGCCATGGAGCCCACAGACAGTAAAAACTACTTAAACATTGGAGAGATTCCATACCTGCCTGAATTTTCTCCACTTGACATTCTCTAACGACAACTTGAGAGATCTGTGCAGTAACGATGCTCCGAAAATAAATGAAACAAGAATCAACTCTAACTTAGTACCAAGTACATCACTCCTCACCCATAGTATTAGCCTCTCTCAATCAGGAAAAGTTTACTACTTACAGCAAACTTTGCTGGGAGGCTTAGAAGAAATGAGATAGGAAGTTTAGCGCACAGAATATACCTATCGGGCCACTAGGTAGTTGTCTGATCTGTAGAAAATCAAGTATCTTCTTGAAGGCAGGCCGTGCTAAACAGAAAAAGAGCTTCACACGTAAGTACGCATGGCAGAACGACGTACCGCATCCTCCCATATTACCCTGAAGCTAACTTAAACCAAACAACTCTATGTGGCTCCTTGCACCGATATACTAAATTCGGACCTCCTAACAGGTTTAATTTGAGAGCAGCAACACAATATTATGGCTGTAGAGTTTTCGGTTTCAACTCTAGCCCCAGGATCTCTCTACCTTACAGCAAAACATGCTGTACTGCATAGCACAGATGTATCTTGCAGAGGTCTCATTCTCCTCTGTTAAGCTTCACCCAAAATCAAGAAGGTTCCAAGTCAACATTCAGAATATTTGCACATCCTGCAATTTTGGAACGGGCTGAAGGAAGCATTAAGAATAAATGGACAGAAAAAACACCAGAACCACATATATATCCTTCCAGCTTCATCGCAACTAACACAGGTACTCCCCACCAAGCTCCACGGGTCAAATGTAAAAGCTTTTTGTCTGCTTTGTTAACGTTGACTTATTCCTAGGACTAAACAAACTGAGCCTCGGGGCAGGGGGGGAGGGCGGGAGAGGGCAACCAACCAACCAAACTTACCTTTACTCTTGCAGAGCTAGCGTACGTGAGCCACCAATGCAGCAGCAAGCCTTTTGAGCCTTGCATGTGCTCGTGCTCCAACCTACTGCTATTACCAGTAGGACTTCCAGGTTTTGTAGCTAATATCAACAAGGCTCATAGCTATAAGCAAGAGGTGTAATTTGTCCATTCTTCAAAAAAAAAAAGAAAAAAGAAAAAAAGAGAGAGCGAATTGCTCTCAGGATGGTCAAGCTCCTGAAAGCGTTTCCAGATTTTAAAGCAGAACCAAAGGCCTATAGGCCCCACATCTGTATTGAACTATGAATATTTCTCTGCATACCTGTAATGGGTATGAGCCACGGATGTTGAAGCCTGCTGCTGTTCCTCCTCCTTCTCTTCCAAACGGGACTTCCAACGACTCCAGAAGTTCTGCAGCACCTGAAGAAAACAGAAAAGATAAGAAAAATACAGATAATGAGAGAGGAGAAGAATACAAAGAAGGAAAAGACTCAATAGCCTACTGAAACTGCATTCAGGAGGCAACTCTCGTAGCATGTTGCCTTGCTGCATAAAACAAAGCAGTGTGAAAAAGGTCTAGGAGCTCGGTACTTTCCTATTTTCCCTATCCAGGATTAGAGCTATTTGCTCCTTGCAATGCAAAATGAAGGGACACTTGCTATAAATTTTTCTGGCAAAAGAAAAAGTCATGATATACATAGGAAAACAGAAAACTGAACTAACGTGCCTAAGACTGAGAGCTGATTTATGCAAGAGATTTTCTGTGGCTGCTAGTAATTAGGAACAAAGCCACTGATTTGACTTAATGTATTTTGCAGGTGAAGCCAACAGGACAGCTCAGGAAAACTCTGATGACGACAACAAAATCAAACTCACTGTGACTTGATGCTGACGGTATGCCAGATTTTTTCTCATTTGCTGAAGACGAGCATTCATGACATTCTGCCGAAGACCCTTAAACCCAAATTGCTGTAACAACAGGAAAGGTACGCAACTTTCATGCAATCCAAATCAGTAAGTGCTGATCACTTTAGATAGGTCTGCTCCTTAAAGACAGCTTACATTTGGTGCACAAGACTCCAGGTCAGTGCTCCTTGCTATAGCTGTGGTTTTTGATGTTGTCATTGACACAGCTATGCATCAGTTTCTCTCCACAAATTATCACTTTTCCAGCTAAACTAAAATTCCCTTCCGCCATCCCACAGTGAGCCATCTGACTCTTTATTCAACTATCAACACCACTACCTAAATCCTTTCCCAAACTATCTTTTCCTTTGATTGAAGATTTATAACTTGCTCCTTATCAAATTAGAAAAGACCTACTTCTCTTCCAGGCCTCCTCTGCACAACAGAGAGAGGATTAATATATTTTAACAACTGTATTTCTTTTTGACCACAATTCTGTAATGTCTTGATTCAACGATGAACAGTGACTCACACAACACCAAATATGCATCCTGCCTTGGAGTGCTCTTACAATCACCAACATTTTCAAACTATAATCCAGCAAGGTTTATTGCCATTCTTGTGATAATCAGTACTGAGCTAAACCAAAAAAGCTGAAGGCCTTGTGACCACCTTTTAAACAGTCCTCAAGGATTCCTTTCTTTTTTTGTTGATAAAGATACTTAGTCTTAACTCACTGCATATGCACAAGATATCTTTGAACTCTCACGTGCAAACAGCATGTGTACATTACTAGACAGGGAAGTACAAATAATTCCTGTAGTAAAACAGTGTAAAAGCAGAGAGAAACATCTGGGGTAGCAACGCACAATGGAGGTGAAGAAAATCAACAGGGTATATCACGGGGAAAATGCCACTGCATGGTGAAAAGGTCAGGAAGCATGAGAGCCCTAAACTGCCAAGATTAATTTGCTGCTTAACCAGTTTCCTCATGGGAAGAAAAACTATTTCAGAGAGTAGACTAGTTTGCCCATATGGGTTCAAGCAGCCATCCATATCTTTCTCTACATGAAGAATGGAAAGTCTGGCAGATTCTGCAGTAGTTGGGATCCAGAAACCTGATGTCTGATCTGAACTCGCCACGACACAGAGATGGTGCATTCCCCACTTAACAGCCACACACTGCTGTTAGTATTAAAGGCACATTGCCAGCCATAACTATCTGAATTCTCTTCAGAGCCTTTTTCACCTGAAGCATAACGGTGCCCTTACCAACAAATGCCGCCTGCGGTGTTTTTCAGCCAGCTCACGCTGCCAAGCTTCTTCCACACACAGCACAACATCTGTCACTGAGCTGAAGTATCTTTTACATGGAAGTGCCCATCCTCATATATACAAAACCCTCCCCCAAAGACAGGCACTAAATCTCTATCTCAATTTGCTTCAATATTTCAATTTCCTACACTGTTATCTGTAAGGAGATGTTTTGATTACGATCAAAGTTTTTAGGTATTGCTTGTTTACCATGACACATTTCTGATTCACTATTAACTGAGGAACTCCTCTCCAACCTTGAATTATCTCCTGCAGATCTTAGCTGTCAACAGGCTAACTTACTGTAATGGCAACAGTTTTAGTAATTGCTAGTATAGCCTTACATACATCTTTCTAATGATAATATATTTGTCAGTAATGTTACTGCATGACATTCCCGTTAATTAACTGAATCCTTCCCCTGGAGGAATACTTTTCTCCTATCTCCACTAGGTACTAAATACACAAAGGATACAATGCTTCCAGCATGCAAAGACTCTCCATAAGACAATCTTTGCTGCTAGTTTTTCAATGCTCTTTTGGTGAGCGTGCGTTCTTCTCCTGCACTCCCATGACAGCCGCCAGCTTGAGAAACACTGCTGAACTACCCTGCCTTGGTGATGCTCCCAAGCCAGCTCTAGAAAACAAACACAGAAATTACTCATGACTTGTTCAATTCTGGGCTCATTTATATCAGATCATGGTCACAACATTCAAGCCACAGGTTCTCAAGTGACAGAAGCTCTAACACTGGGAAGTGATGATAAGAACTCACAGTAACATTCAGCTATGGACTATATTCTTCCTTTCATTCAGGAAGGCAGTTTTAAAGCAGTAAAATATCGTATTGTTTTAAGAGGGAAAAATTAAGATATTATGTCACTCATTCAACATACACAAGCTTGCTTCCATTTTAATCTACTGCTACTACTAGTTTCCAGATACTCAAATTGGATTCTCTTCCGCTACCACAGATCAAGAGAAGTCACACAAGCGTCTAAACTCAGCCCCGTGACTTTAAGGGAGAAACAGAAAGAACACATCCCATATCAGTTTTATTTTGTCTGATTATCAAGAAAATCCACATATAGACTGATTGATAATAGTCATGAATACTTCCTTCTCACAAGTATCTCAGAGAATAATCTGCAACGTGCAAGTCTTGGCCAAAAGAACAATAAAGCACTTCCTCTTAGACCACATCTATCCTCTTGCCATATGAACAGCAAGGGATTGTCTCGATAGTTCAGTATACAACCGCACCAGGCCAGTGACAGTGGACAGTAAGTCCAAGCCACATCTTACCAGCTGTTGAGCTAGCATTTCAATGTCTCCTAGAACAGGAAAAACACCACTATGCCCTAGCAAAGGCTCACGCCCAACTCTGTCCTAACTCGCCATTTTCACTCACCATTCCGATGTCTCTTTGCTCTTTGGAGGTTTAAGTATCCCAGCCATGCCTTCATGCACCTCTTCAGTTTCCAGTGCTGATGGTGAGTTACTGCCCTAGTCTCCTTCTGCTTCTCACTCTGACTGTATAAATACAGCTCTCTCCACTGCAGCCAAGCCTGACAAATGGGGAGGAAGGAGAGTAAGGAAAAAGAAATGGACAAGACTGGGGAAGTAAAAGTAAAGCACAGGAGAGGAAGAACACACAGGCAATAGGGAATTCCACATAAAATCTAAAGGTGGAAGCCATGAGCAATGAGGCTTCAAAATAATAACAATAAATTCTTTAAGGTAGTCCAAAGCTAATAATGAAATTCAATCTATGGGTCCTGACCCGCATCCTCTAGGATGCCAATTTTATTCCTCCTACATGTATCGCCTGCCCTCCCACTCTACTATGCCCAAAAGAACACCAGCATAGAAAAGGCAGGGAAACAAAGAAGGTCAACATCAAACTTCAAGATGCTCTAGCACTTCCTCCATTAAAACACCAAAATAGTACTTTTGGAACAATGGGCTGTCAAGTAGTATTTTCATTTAAAGGAGAATCATATCTTGAGATACAACAAGGTTTTCCAAATCATGAGATTATCTTGTTAGGAAAATAGAGACCTCAAAGAGGCAGTGCTGCCATCTTACAGTGAAGGCAGAATTAAATACCATCACTTGACTTTTTTAAAAAACGTGGATAAAAAGCTACAAGACTCTCTAGCAAAGGGCTGATCAGCTCCAGGTAAAGAAATAAAACCACATCATTTTCACTTTGACTTCAGAGAAGATGAACCATTTACTGCAGAAGCCGACAGCCTCTCAAGAATATGAAATGCAGGATTCCATTTTCTTTCCCCAAAAAGGAGTTAAACATGCTGACAGAAATTCATTAGGACACAGGAAGTACTGTCTTACAAAAAGGCAAGTTGCTGTCAACCAGCTGATCATTATTATCTTGCCTCCTATCAAAACCGTAGACTGGACTTCTATGGACTTCAGAAGTCTGAATGAGCTGGATGTGACTGCCTTTCACGACCTGCCCAAAATGCCACAGCTCCAAACTTGCAGACCTATTCATTTCTTTTACCTCTTATTTACTTGTGGCTAGTTCTTTAGTGAATAGAACTCCGACACGTTCATTATTATCAAGCACTGTATAAAACAAGAATAATTCCTTTGGTAAGTCGTCTTCTTAGCTAATAAAACACATGGATCCAGTTTGCTCTGTCTAGATTTCTTGTAAATATTTTTTCTTGTAAACATATTCTATTTAGACCTGCCTCCATCATAAATACTGTAATTTGCAAAGAAAATGAGTATAAGGCCCATTTTTCATTTAATCTGCAAGGTACTAACCACCCCTGGGTGCAACTTAGGAATGTTAGGAATGCTCATAGCCGGAGCTCTTAGGACTTACTCGAAATTGCAGGCTCTGGGCCCAATGTTGCAGAGCCAAAACATTCCTTTTACGTCCAGCACAGTTCTGGCAGCATCGCCTTCTCCACACTGCCCATGATATGCTGCCAAGACAATGTTACAGATATGTTTAAAAACAGTTTCTGTAGTTTGGTGCAAAAAAACCATCTTCCTCTCACTGGAAAAGGTATGTACCACCTAATCTTTTAAATTCACAGGCTACAGGTAAACTAGGAGAATTCAGACAAAAAAAAAAAAAGGTAGAATAAAAACTCAGTGAAGGAAAAGATCACAGAATACAGGTAAAAGCCAGGGTGTTACAGTCAATGCCTCTCTGCCGGTTTCAAATCTATTCTTACCGCAAACAGCTTCTTTCCCTGAATGCCAGTGCCACAGACTGCATTCTGTGTTTCGTCCTTCGAACATCAACATAAACCAGCCAGCGTTGCCACGTCCAGAGCAGTTTCTGCTGATTTGCTGTGCATAAGAGATGACAGCATTTTAAGGGCATGCAAGAATCTGTCATTTTTAACAAGCCCATAACACTACTTTTTACCCATCTCTCGTTCCTCTCAGCCCACAGTGACACCTCGTGGAAAATCCTGAAATTACAGCCACTGGATCACGACTTGCTACCATCTACCCTGGCTGAGGGTTTCACACTGATGGGAATCTGAAACACTGACAACATCACGCAGCTAGCTCAGAACAGTGTGAATTGTCAGATTCAGGTATTGGTACTATGCTTTCTCTTTTAACTAAAATTTGTCTTCAGTGCTTAAAAATATAAAATATATGTTAGTATAACAATATTCAGTTTAACAACCTTATTGAATAAGATTTACAAAATTTTACAAGATTTTCTTTGGTTCTTGTAAAAAAAAGTTCATCAGTAGCTCTTCAAGAGTTATCCTCTCTCCATTACAAACACATAAATCACCCAGAAACAAGATAAGTTTATTTAGCAGGCTAGTCACAGCCAAAAACAGAACATTTCAGCCTATCACTTAATGCAGTACACAGCATTGTCTCCTTACAACAGTCTGGTTCATCAGAACTGACATCACGGAAGCAAAGTTATTAGGAAGAAATCATCCAAAAACATGATTGATTTTATGCTATTTCAACATTTACACTTAACAAAATATACACTTTACTTTTTTTAAAGGGTTCTGGTGAATAAAGTTTTAACCTATGCTGAAATAGGTCCCTTTTTTTTTCTCTGTTTTTTTCCCCCCCCTTTCTCCCTGACACCCCACCCCAGGTAACTCAGTAATACCTCTGGTCTCACTCACTGAGAAAGGGAATCTAGCTAGTGTATTAGTTTGTTTCAAAAGGTCCCAGTCTGTATTCTATTTCAAGGCTACCTTGATGTGCAAAGATACCAGTTACTTTATCATTTTGTTCCATCGTGATCTGCAAAGTAATTTCACCTCTAAGAAGAAAAGCGTCTTCTTCCCCATCAGGGAAATAGATATTCTGTGAATCTGAAGGAAGTTGCAACCAATACAGGCAACTTCATCAATAGGGCAAATCCACTGCAGAACAAAGAACCTACATCACAAGACCAGTGGTGCTTCTAAAGCTTAGGCTTTCTTTCAATTGCAAGTACACGCTGAAAGGAGTAAAGAATATAGATAAAATGCATGCAGTTAGGTTCACCACATGGGAAATCAATATATAATTTCTATAGTCACAGTTGACACAGAACTCCAATAACATTCTATTCCAAATATCTATTTGAACACACACACACACACACAAACAAACATGCAATTCAAAGCAGATGGAGTGGCCCTTAAGCTTATTGATTGGCTTCCCTAAATAACTATATAGCTACACAGTACAGGGCATCAAAAGGAACCCCCTCCTGCCAGTTTTAGACAGACAACCATCTGTACCTAAGAGCATTACGGTTCCATAGGATGAGGGAGATAAACGTGCACACACATGCAAGGGACAGAGATTCTGTGCAAATATCTCCCTTGGAAACTTCCATCTCAATGCATCCCCAAATAAAGGTAGTTCCTGTCCCTTCTATGCTTACCATCGGACTCTGCAACATAATTCTTATTCCTCTTTTCTTGTTGCTGGCATATATAGGCTCTCCAAGCCTTGAATATCAGGCTGTAGAGGAAATATCTGGAAAATTTAAGAGAGTCATTCAATGAAATCATTAGCAATGCCTGTAAGTAGCATTCCTTCAAGTTCAGTTACACTCTGAAGATATGCCAGATAGGAAATTTTCACTTTCTCCTAGGACAACAGAAGAGTTTTGTACGAAAAATGTGGAAAAAGAGGGGAAGAAAAAAAATGAAAATAAGCAACAAAGACATTGCTCTTAGCCCACAGGAACTATTGGTGTCACTTGTTTGCTACTATTCACAACTCCTTCACAACCTAGGGAAAACTTCACCTTGCTATATACACACAACAGGAAGTCATTTCACACACCTATAATGGCAATCGGCTCTGAAGATTAGCTGCTTCTCTCTGCAAACAGTCCACCACTCCTCCTTCCACTCTCCAAAAGCTTTTTGAAGACTCTTCTGGTCATAGTAGCATCTAGGCAGTTTGGACACGGAAAAGATTTGGACATGGAAAATACTGTAAAGGTTTCCAGGTTGATAATAAACCAGCTTTAATGAAGATTGCACCACCCCTTTTCCAGTCTTGTCTGACTGGCCTAACAGTATCTAACTGCATGAAAAATGCAACCCTTCCGTGACGCTTTTCTCCAAGACTCTAAGAAGTACGACAAGAGGCAATCAGTTTAATGCCTGTAAATGTTTCACATAAAATCAAGGAAAGAAAGACAGATGTTGTAAGTGACTTGCCAAATATCAGAGACCCAGCTAACTTCAACCTATGAACAACACATCTTATATGCTCAGTTCGGTGTTTTAACCATCAAACATCTAGCCCTACTGACAAAGAATCATATGTCTATTTTCCTTGCTAATGTTATTCTTTGCTATTTTAGCATAAGATATTTTTCTTTTATATACAGATATTAACTACTTTGGATTTTATAATGTTCTCATACTTCCATTGTGTTCTTCGAAACAGCATGCTGATCCTAACTCATCCCAAATTAAAAATCTTCCCAAAGAACACTTAAACAGGCTTAAGAACTCCTTCAATTCAAGTTGCTTGTTTTCTATGCTAAAAATGAAGCTGTTTATCTGTCCCATTTACCCTCTCCTTCCACAGGTTAAACTAGGCACAAATGGATTTACAAGTCACATATGGCCTTCAAATCCTTTAACCCAAGTAGAGCAGCCTCTGCTTTTATACTTAAATTTAATTATCACACCTGACTGAGTAAGAAGTGATGCTACATTTCAACTGAATGGTGAACAACTGAAGATTAACATAGAGAAGGGTCTGAATGATGGAAGTAGGATTTTGATTACATACCTCAAAGGATAAGATTTTCTCTAAAGCCATCATTTTTTATCCCAAACAATTTATTTATTTTATGTATTTATTTAATATTCTCTCAAACAGTTTTCCATGTGGTCAAAATGACCTGGCCAACATTCTAAGAACCTGGAAGTCTCACCTCTGGAATATGAATACTTTCCAAAACTTTCTCATCTACTGGTATTTTTGATGGAGATAAGAAAAACGAGAGGACCCATAAAAACACGCAAGCTAGCAACAAAAAGCACACAACAAGCCCAAACTCACAGCCTTTGCTCACACCAATACCACTAAGCTTAATGAAGTTGCTCATATCTGTAAAAACAGGATTAGGTCCAGAATACCTAGATGTCCCTCATTACAAACACATAAAAATTCTCTCACAAATTGCAATTCATAACTACCTACCCCAAGCCAAGTTGTTAAGTCATTCCAAGCACTCAAGCAGAAAAAAAAAGAGACAAAAGAAACAAGAGCTATAAGTTAACCTTTTGGACTTAGTGCACTAACAGAACATTTCAAATAAAAGCTGTGGTGAACTAGGGACTCTCTTAAATCTAAAAATGCAATTAATTTTTGCTGATGTCCCTGGCTGAACTTCAGAAAAAAATTTTAAAATGTACTTCCACTCATCCTCAAAAAAAAAAAAAAACCTCCTGAATTTACACAATGCCAAAGCAAGTAATACAAATTCAGTATATGGGATAGCAAGAATACTACAGTTTTCACAGGACAATTTCCGTTTACCAACTAAGGCAGCCATAGTCAGAATACATTTGATACTGTAGAACGAAATGGGATAACTAAGGGTCTGAGCTTACTCTCATTGTAACAAATGCAGGTCTTTCCACTGGGAACTGCTTCAGTTCCCAAGGGTATGGTAAAACAAGAATGAACATGCAAATTAAAACAAAACAAGAAAAGAGTATCCAAGTGTTGATTTTCAGTAGCTGACAGAACACTAACGCCAGAAACGAAATGCCTGACAGGTATTTCAAAGTCAGACAGATGCAAAGCATATATAGCTATACATTAAGAACAACACTGCAAACTTTTCAAGACTTATCTGCTTTTCAGACTATTTATAATTTTTACAAATTGTTAATTTTAAAGTAGATACTGCAACCATATCCCTAATTTATAGCAAGAACAGCTCAGCTTCACAGAGAACCACAAATCCTCTCAATTTAGTAAGTAAAACTTAACCGTGATCATTAAAAACAAACAAAAAGCAGGAGCAAGAGAGCTATTTAAAGGAAACCTTCAAATGATTTTAAAAGACATCAATATATTTTCTTGGCAACCAGCGTTCTCTTAGCCCAACTATACAGCACTAAACCACATCCAAAAAAAAAAAAAAAAAAAATCGATCTCTGGAACTTTATCTACCTGGCTTTGGAAGGGAGAACTTGTCCAAATGTCTTTTCTGCCCACAGATAGAAGAATTTCCTTGCTAGGTATCTGGAATATAAACAAAGGTTACTTGTCTTTTTTACTCCTCCTTGGTTATATTTTCAGACAGCAATCTTAAAAATCAGGACTTTCATGCTAGCTCCAAAATAACACTGACGGTCTGTTTTATAAAGACCAATGCACATACATAACATTTACAGCCTGAAAATAGTCCTTTAACAGGACTATTCACTAAGCATAAATAGAGACCAGCACATCACTGCAGGATGGATTTGGGACATGCCTGTTTCTGAAACCAAGATAGCCGAGATGTCTTCCATGCAACCACTTACACCCAGTGATTCTAAAGAGCAGGCTGCTGATTAACTGGGGTGCCTTTATGCCATTTAGAAGAAAGGACATGAATGTTTCTCTGAGATCAACCAGCTGAGTCAAAGTTACATTCCCGAAAGAGCTAAGCCACTATCTAGTGTTTAGCCCTGAAACAGGGAGGTCCTCCTTCCTCCTTCCTCCCCCGCATCAGTTCTAGTTTTCAGTAAGCTTCTCCAGGATCCAATCCGGCTTGCTATTATGTGGTTATGATACTATCCTCCTACCCCCCTCTTCTTTTTTTAATGGATTCAAGAGCTAAATCGGCTCACAGAGGGCCCCAACAGGCATTAAAGCCAGTACAAGGTATTTCAGGAAAGCACATAGCCATGAACAGGACTTCCCTCTTGCAGCATACCAGAGCTGCTAGATCAGCTCAATTTGTCCAATCAAATTGTCCAATCAAAACCAAACTTAAATCTCTTTACAGTTACAGTCCCATCTTTGTCATGATTCCGTCAACAAACAAAAGGAAAGAAACGCAACAGCAGGGAAAGACTAAAACATTATACTTGACGGTCTCCAGGAAAGCACATTTTTAAATAGCCATTTTTAAAATTTACATTAGAAAGCCAAAAACCTAGGAAATCTGACTGTGCTAACATACATCCTCAAGTCATCACAAGACATTTTCAGAATTTTTGGGCACCCTTGTGAGAAAAACCTTTGCCTTAGCCCTCAGTTATATCATTAAAAACATCAGAACTCTTCAAGAGAACTATCCCCCTGCTCCTTTGAGTGAAAATTGTGTTTTGGTCTTATCACCTGATCTGGAGTTCTTTTAACCTTCTTCCTTGATTGCAGATACACCCAACTGGACATGGACTGTGATGACCCCCGTTCTGAAATCGATGTCCAGCAGATCGTGGAGCAACACACTGACAAGCAGCAGAGTGACCAGCTGCATGCATTTTAGGTCTATGCAGTTGTTGGGTTGCACGCATCTTCAGAGATTTTGAACTTAAAAAGGAAATAAAAGAAAATATACTGTGTGTAAGACCCTGTTAATTGTAAAGAAGCGGCATCATTTCTATGGATTAACCTATAACAAAGCTATACAATCACATAGAGAAACTGACAGCTACCCAACGTTACAACACATTTAACATCTCTCTTGTCACGCATTATTCACTAACTTTATTTCTGGAATCGTAAGGCCATTTCCCCATGAACGGCAGTAAGTCAGATTTCAGAGCAATCATGTCACAGACAGTTCCTTTCTCCTTTAAAGTTGAAATGAGAAAGAACTAAAATGCATTTGTGCTTCCCCTCCCATGTACTTATATACAGTAAAAATTAAGGCTTTTACAGAAAATAATAAGACTTAAATGTGTTTTTCTGCCTTTTTTTATTCTTGAACAAATCAAGCCGTTTTGTCTACTGCTGAAAAACTCTCTTGAGGACTACAGAACTGAGGTGAGGATTTCTCAATGATCACTTTAATAGGAAAGCCACTTACACATGCAGTCTGTTTACAAGGAGATCTTCCCTAGTTTTGCTTATACTTGCATAAGTTATGTTTTTTCTTTAAGAAAAAAATTACTAAAAATCCCTTCCTGTCTTCATATAGCCATCATTAAAAAGCAAAATTAAGTACATTTTTCCATTATGCAGTTTATTTTGAAGCCTAGCTCTAATTTGAAAAATAACTTTAAAATGTTTTTACAAATTCTAAGTATTTTGCCTCAACAATTTTCTGAAAACAAGCATGATAAAAAAAAAAACTAACCAGATAAAACCTGTTGAACCAGTTGTATTGAAGCTTCTTTCTCAAAACAAATACTGTCACCACCCTGAAAATTTGCACATTAGAACCACAAAAACATTCTTGAACTCCTTAACACTCAACAGAAGAGACAGTCTGAAATCTCATCCCAATAATCACCTGAGGAGAGCTAGGAAAAATATATGGCTGCAGCCAGGAAAAATCTTGGTCCACAGTTATTGGAATAATCCACACTAATAGGTCTCAGGAGTTCAGCTGAACACCAATTCAAAGCATTCACAATAAATTAGAAAAAAAATTCCAATATTAGTTAAAATCTCATAGAAGAAAAAATAGTACTCTTGGCTCGTTCCAGCAGGCTGCAAGAAGCTAAAACAAACCTAACGAAAGAAAACAAGACCTGTAGTTTGCCACAGAGATAAATTCTTGTTCCCCTATAAAATATCATTTTGATTATTTTCTGAAAGAGAAGGGCCACATCTGGCAGACAAGAGAATTCTGTGCATGTCAAGATGTGCAGCTGAGGCAATTGCGTGCACTTTTGAAGAAAAGAGTTTCAGACACTTTTTAAATTATGCAAAATTGCTTCCAGTACATTTCTTGCGCATTTCTATTAGACCCAGTTCCCTTCAAAACCTTCTACTCTATTCCAAAGGTAAGCTTAGTCTGATCATGCACACAGCTGCAACATCACAGAAAACAGTAAAAATCAAGCATGGGTGGAACATGTAGAAGTTTGTATTAACAAAAGTCCAGGGCATGTGAATATGTAATGATTTTTCAATAAACATAATTTATAATAGATTATTCCTAAATATCAAGAACCGTATGTGAGAGCTATTACATATATGCAGTGACGGCAACCCATGCGCTTGAGAATTTATGTGAAGTAGCCAAGAAAAATAAGGGTTGAAGAAGGATCATTTCCCTTTTTTAAGTCAGGAAATAAAAACATGTGAAAGATAAGAGAATTGCTTAATATCACAGAGGAAATTTGTGCCTGGGCAAGCAATTGTATCCAAGTATCTTATGACCCAGTCTAATACCTGAAGCTCAAGAACTTCACTTTTGTATTTTAGCGTTATGGTAACATAAACCACAAAGGTAATTCCCCCCCGCCAAGAGGTACATTTTCTGATTAAGAGTCTTCCATGGAAATTAATTTAAAAAAAAATCTTAATTTGTTTCTGTGCCATGGAACGCATAAGTTGTCATAATGAAAATAATACGCCCGAGTCCTTTAACAAAGCAGCATCTTACTACTGCTTACCTGCTCTTGCACTTCTCCATGTTGCCTACAATTCCCAGCCTGCAGTAAACAAGCGCACTCTCTGCACAGGAAGGTTGTATGTTATCTTGGGACAAAGCATAAATTATTTCTTGTTATTTCTGATGTGATCAAATCCCATCTATGCTAATTTCACTCTGCAGCTCTTAAAAACGACCTGAATTCCCCTCACCCACCCTGCGCGCAGAGTATAGGGCAGATGTTCAGCATGAGCAGCGTCCCCCTGCACGCCCAGGCCCTGCGGGCTCCAACGGCCCTGTGCCGGCAGACCCTACCGGCCACGGACAGCGGCAACGAGCTGAACGCTAAGACCACAGCAGCGCCTAGCTAAGCAGGGCCGTGACTGGAAAAGGGCTGTAAACTGGCCAAGAGGCCCTAAGCTACGTACCCGCTGTTTCCAAACCATCGAGGTGTGGGAAACCTGCTACCTACGCTAACTGATTCCTTTCGTACCTCCTCGCGTCGCTGTTGTTTACAGACGCTACCCCCTCCCTCCGCAAGCACGCGAGGACGAAGAAAACGAAACCCTCAACACCACCCAGGGCCAGCCCAAACCCCGCGGACGGCGGGAAAACCGGCTGCGGCTGACGC